GAGTACCCCGCCGCTGCTCTGCGCAAATACATACGTTGCGTGACTGTACGGTTTGTAAAACTGTGTCTCTAACAACTGCTGCTGTGTAATTGTAAATTTGACAATGCAGACGGTGTCGCACAAGAAGCGGGCAATTTAAACGTTGTCGGAGAAACGACCGCCGGTATAAAGTACTGCAGCGATGCTGTCGCCGACGCCGCTCGCGTTGTCGCCGCAGACGACGCCGCTGCGGCGCTAGGCGCTGGTAAATTTACACACTATTTATAAATACTGACCTCCTTATCGCGGTTATTATTTGACTGGTTGTGGGAGTAAGAGAGTTAAAGAGAAGTTAAATAACTCGACTCGCCCATCGCTAGCGAGTTAGCAATCACGTTAACTCGAGTTGAAAAAAATACAAGTCGTCTCATCGCTATGTACTCTATACTATATAACATGTTTTTGTTTTAGCTCCAGCTACTAGAACTTTGGAATCCTTACCAGTGACGTGTATTGATTATTGGTGATTGCGGCCCCGGAATACACGTCTGCCGGTGGAAGAAATACACGTGTATAAATTACAGCAATTATGAAACGTAATTACTACTTTATTAATGAGGTGTGTTTAGATTTCTATTATAATTTATTTTACGAGTATTTTATAGGAGTGTTTAATAGTGCAGGCTGTCCATTATTCACACACACTGCATCGTCTTCGAAGCTACCCTCCTTAAGTTAAAGTAAAAGGTCTTTACTGCATTGAAAAAGGTGGCATATTATCGAAGCAACAGTTGCAAAGGATACGTTGTTAAAAGTACAGTGGCGTTCAATAATATTATATATATATTTTTTTTATTAACAAGAAAGTGCAATTCAGGGACAATTTAATACCATCAACGAATAATATATCTACTATCGGAAAATTGTAAAAAGGTCCACCTAATAGATACTGGTTACCGTCTATAGACGTTTGCGGTACTAAGGAAATATATTTTATGCCCCAAATGCATTACCGACCGTGAGACATGAGATTTTTTATGCCATCTAAATGTACCCTTCAATTAGGAACTTAACGGTGTTAGTTATCAGTACAAATTGTTAGGGTGTTGTACGGGTTACGGGGAGAAGGCAAAGGCAGTTCGCTGCTCGCCTGATCCCCTAGTGAGGCCAGCAGGCTCTGGACAGGAACTCCGGAGCCAGCATTGCACGGACTCGATCGTCTGGGGGGGTCGGAGGACAACCGACCCGCCCTTCCGTTGGCGCGGGAGCCCTGGCGCAAGCTAGGGCGGCCGGACGGCGTCGTGGTGAATGTTCACCTATTCCACGGCGCCGACTCAGTCGGCGAGAGGACCCCTGAGTCTTCCTGGGCTCTGGGGTATCTATAAAGATTTCCCACCCTTCAAAAGAAGGGTGTTGTACGGGTAAGATTTAAATTCAACTCTATACCTCTTACAGTAAGAACGGTCCAAACTTCAATGTCTCAAGTTTGATGTGCTCTTGACTGTACCTACTATACCACAATTGATTTTTAATATAGTACATGGGGTTATATTTTGCTACAAGTAAAGTAATAATGAAAGTACGATCTTTTTTATACCGTTAGGGTCAAAAACATTGACAGTTAAGACAGTATAATAAAAGTAAGTAGGACAACTCCCGCCCGGTTTAGCGCGGAATGCCTACACTTCGTTCGGAGCATAGGGTTGTCACATTATTATTTTAATTGTACCTTACGGATTGTAAACATAATTTGAAAAAGTAATGTATTTATCACAGTATACTCGTGCTATATTGAAATAAACTTTGTCTAATGCAGTTTATTACGTATTGATATTTTTATACCTGGTTCGCGTATTGGTATCTCGATTAAGAGAGTATATTTAAAAAATAGAAATGAAATCTTGAACAGTTATAAATTTGAAGCACTTGTTGGCTACTTCAATGAAACTCGTAATTTTCGTTATTTTATAATACCAGTTGACGGGACGAGCAAGTCTGCCTGATGATAAGCGACACGCCTGTTCATAACAGTTGCAGTGCCACCACACCCCGGACACTCCATACAACAGTCGAAAGTTAGTTACTTACTACTACTACATACAGCAAGGCGATACCTACACACGCGCAAATATGTGCGTAAAGTGGCAGGGTTACCCATTACTTTCTCGTACTATTACGTGGTCAGAGCGGTAACATAGCGACAATTTTAACGCGAATCAGTTATCTATAATTCTATTAATAGAATCCTAATAATTACACATGTTCATTAAGTATTTAAATCGATTTAATATTATAGTTTTCATTAATTCACTAACTAGAATAATATTGAAGATTTATTTCAAAACATATTAAAAGCACTTAAAATGTTATATTTTGGACAGGTACTTCTAAATAAGGTAACCAAGGTATTTGAAATTGCGTGTCCAAGTTTATCATTACCTAATTAATAATTAGGTATATTCACTACGTAATATTTATCGGCAATACAAATTGGAAATTCGAGAACCCTTGTCTATTAGCTCACGAAGTTATGGCGTCTCATTATATTGATATAATAAATCTGTATTTATATTACTCTGCAGTAAATAAATGAAGAAAACAATAACTGAGTGAGTCTCAGACAAGTTCTTTTTTACTTGTTTTTTTTTTCGTCTATCGGAAAACGAAAGTAACTCCTCTCTTTATCCCGTTCAGATAATGATAAACAGCCGTATACAGCACAATTCACAACCATTATATATAGTAACATAAAGCGATGTTATTTAATAACGTACAACTTAAATGAATAAATGAAAACTATATTCAAATGTCAAAGCCGTCTTAGCGCGAAAACGTCTTGCCGACAGCCCTATCGCCGTTCAGTCAATGTGACCGTCAATGTGCGGGGTGTGGTGCGGTATCTAAAGCTAGGGAGGGGCGGAGAATGTCCTCGTTACTTTTTTGTTCTCTGGTGCCACTCAGATCTTTAAACCGCAAAGACCGGACCGGCACTGCCACTGCGCCCGTCACCCTTAAACATAAGTTGACAAATCACCCCTACCCTTCAAAACCGGAACGAAATAATGCCCACATTACTGTTTGGCGGCAGAAATGGTTGTTACCCAGGTTTGATATCGTACGATTTATTTTCATTTTTATTCACAACACGTCTTATTCGGACGTCAAACTGTCGTATTCGAAACCGAAAAGAAATGACGTCACTACCGTACGATTACTCGAACTTCTCGACCGGAAAAGACTACAAAACACAGTTATCGAATGATAGTTACCCAACGTCCGAATTGTTTACAAAGCAAGAATTTATTGTTCAATAAAGCCTTACATTAGGTAAAGTACACTTATGTGAAAGCTGGGTAGGTAAGTACTAATAACATGTTAGTTGGGAAATCTCTTATATTTTTAATAAAGTCTCGATTTTGTTCAACTTTATTAATTTATTTTAATGTAAGACTATTTTTTTATATTTTAGGCCTTTAAAGTCTTGAAAATGTATATAAAAAGATTTTTATCTTGTAATCTATTTCACCGACTAACTCCGTAAACATTGTTGGATAACGATATCGTATCGGAATCCGAAGCGAAAGTTTAACTGAATAGCTCTGAAAGCGCCCTTCGATTCGAGAACGAGATCCAACCGAACGATTTCATTAAAATATCGAACAGTTCTGAATCGGGGTCCTGGTCCATACACGGTGAGCGTCGGAGCGCCGGACTTACAAGTCGCGATGCTACTTTTGTATGGAGTTACAGCACTCGTCTAATTACACTATAGTTAAGATTTTAAGTGGAACTATCTTTTCTGGGTCTTACTCGCGTACATTTGTTTTTTCAAACAAACCAACGAATCCGGCCTTACACAGGTTTTTCATTCAACTTGCTATTGAATATCGTCAGAAAAATCTTGTTGAAATTATCACGTGTGCAGCGCGACATAGCTGTTACGTAAACTGTCGCTCCCCGCGCACTGCGCACCTACCTCAGGCGACGACTCAGTTAAGCGGTAGGCCTGTAAAAAAGTAGTCATGCGAGGTTGTTAGTCTTTTACAAACAACCTTGTATAAAGGTACAGAGAAAGGAGGTACCTATATGGGAATTGAACTCGATAGGGAGGTATAATTTTTTTTTAATTACAGTTACCTATGGCGCTGTCAATCGAGGCAGGGCACTTTCAAGCGCTGCCACGTGTTTGATAATCACTACCCGTTTCGAAAAAAGCAGTTGTGATATGGTAAATCAACATTACGGTAAGTAAAACAATTTTTTTTTTTATACAAATGTAAGTGCGCATTTGACATCCATCTCACCTGATGGAAAGTGACGATGAGGTGGACGATGTAGCGTACACACCTAAATAATGCCTATTCCCTCTCGCCTTGAAAAGGTCTGCAGGCTGGGAATTCCACTCCATAGCCGTTCGCCATATAAATGTGGAATGCTTCATAAGAATCTTTATAATATCCTCAACATAGGGGTGGAGTCCAAGCCTACGTCTATAAATTATTCAAATAACTGTTTATTTTGCACACTTGGTGTAACAATGCCTCATCTGTGCAATGACAACTTTTTTATAAAAACTAAGTGACGGGAACTACAAGTCGTGCGCCTGGTGATAAGCGACACGCCTGTCCATAACAGTTGCAGTACCACTCAGAGCTTTAAATCACCAAGGTTTACAATCTGGGCCCCTGAGTGTCTTTGAGAGATACATAAGTTTAAAGAGATTAACATCCTTACACTAACGTCACTGTACATTAATGAAAATGTTAAGAAAAATATTATTTTTTTTAATGAAAAATAGTGGCAGACGTAACATTAATACGAGGAATTAAAATAAACTAGTTGTTATCGAGTTCTTAGGTTTTCGCGATTGTTACACATAGGAAATGAAACTATTTTTCCGGATTTAAATCGCGTATATTTGTTTTTTCAAACAAACCGACGTTTCGGGCCCTTTACAGGTCCCATGGTCACGGTTGACTCAGTCAACCGTGACCATGGGACATGTCACTGTTGTGATACATGTCGTGCAAACGTCGGTTTGTTTGAAAAACCAAATATACGTGATTTAAATCCGGAAAAATAGTTTCATTTCCTATAAACCAGTTGTTCTTTACAGTCGTCCTCATAAAGTCTCAAATTCATTTAAGGGCAATGTATACACTTCTATAATAAGATTCCGATTGATATTCAAAATTTGCCATTCACGAGGTTTAACACCTCGAAGGTTTGAAACAAAAACTTTATACTAAAGGTTTATTATACAGCTTCTGCGTACTTGGATGATAAAAACCCATGGTAGGTGACCCGTTTAGCTCTTACAGAGACTTCTGTCAAAGAAGTGAAAAGAATACACTTGTTTAAATAAGTTTTAATTTGTATCAACTCACAAACCCACGCTCTTTGCCTCCATCTTCAGTTACGTACAACATATTGTTTTGAAATTAGAGATGTGACGTCTCAATCACGACATCCTCGTTATTTTGAAAAATAACAAAGTTCAAGCTTTCTAGTTGATAATTAAGTAATTTAATCTCTTACAATACAATTACAATGTTAATTTATTTCAATTTTAAATTAAAATTTTCTGAATTAAACTAATATTAAATTTTATAATCTGCCAAATGTGCTGCAAGTTTAATACTCCTTCCACTTCTACTTGTTTTATTATTAGTTATATTCTCACTTAAATCTTTTTTATTGTTAGTTGTTTTCGACGTACAGTAATCGGCCAATCCTTGAACTACTTTGGCGTACACTTTTCTATCGGCTGTTGTCAGGTCTAACGTGTCAAACTTATCCAATCCTTCGTCACCCAGAAGATGTAATAATATAGCTATTTTACTACTATCAGGCTTCTCATTGCACTCATTAGCGGTCATGATCAGGCTTCTCATTGCACTCATTAGCGGTCATGTAGTGAGATAAGTTTTTATTTTTGCAAAACATTCAACAGGTTCTGGTTCCCAATTTTTGTTCTTTTTTAACAATGACCGCAGAGAAGCCGTTAATTCGGCCGCATTTTTGATAATTCGGAAGTATTCGCCAGTTCATCATCATTACCGTGAGGACATGTGAGATCCATGTCGCATTCACGTAGACGTGTTTGTAGTCGAGTTAGAGGTACTTCAAACACCCGTCACTCAGATCACAGGTCCTTAGTTGCCAGAATGCTAATGATAAGCAAGGTAATTGGTCGAACCAGAATTTAGTGTTTGCAACCCGCCTATTTACCGATAGATACTACGGAATGGGCATGGTATAGACTATACCAGCAGTAGGTATATCGAAAATTTTCAAAAATATATATAATATTTGAAAGATTTAGTTTATGTACTCTGTAAAGAACATGTGTAGGCATACTTAACATCAACGATCTACATTTGTTCGTTGGTATACAGTTTGTTAGGTAATTTTTCGCTAAGTATTTTTTTTTTCTTAAAAATATCTATCTACACAATTTATTAATTAGACAAGTGATTTAATTTATTGAATTTTGGAATGATGTAGACTGACTAATTTAGCTTCGCGCAGACGCATTCTTGCACGTGCTCCCTCAGATGCTATTTAGAAAAAAATTACAGATGACACAGGACCTTTGTCTATTGTTTTGACAACTTAGAAAGCATAGAAATGGTATTAGAGAAATTGTAAGCCTGGCACCTGTAATTACGTCAGGAGAATTTTTGGATTTCTATGTACTACTCCGAGTACAAATGTAGGTAGGAGGTTAAAGCATTTTTGACATATGATCACTTAAGGCGTTGTTATACAAAGGATACGAAATATTTCTCTAAGGCGTAATCAAACAAATTATATCTCTTATTTGAATACCCCCTAAACCTACCGCTGTGGGTAGCGAAACAATCGCGCTATACACCGCCGAGTGTGAAGTTCCGCGGCAGCGAAACCGACATACCGCTCCATACCGCCCAGAGGGTCCACTCACGTTCACCGTACGTACCGTACGTTAAGATGCATATTCGCCCAAAGCATTGCAGAATCGGTATATTCCAGAAATCTCCACTGGTGAGAGTAATGAAATTTTATTCAATTTCATTCCACAAACCCCCACAGAACTTGTTACGCAACGGGACTTTGTGGAAAGAAATCCCCACCAAGATACTATTTTACCTGTTATATTAAATTTTTAGGTGACATTTTCGTGGTTTCCCGAAAATACTTAAATTATTTTCAGCGCCTTTGCCACGTCAACCACACGACACTTAGATTACTTGGTACTTGGTGTAACGGGCTGGTGTCCGCAACTCGACGTCAAGGCGCCTGTTTTGCGTGTGACACTTTAATTGTGTTTTCTTTCAATTTAAAAGTTTTGAACTTCCTTTAAAATATTAAATTATCGCAAACCACGAATCTGTCATCTAAAAACAATATAATAAATTTGTGAGAACTTTCTCCACAAATCCCCACTGCGTATCAAGTACGTACTACGTTAGTGGGAATTTGTTGAATGAAATTGAATAAAATATTAAGATCCCTACCAGTGGGGATTTGTGGAATAGAAACTTGAATTGACCTCACAGTTCGTTGTCAAGTGCGAATTCCCAAAAGAATGGTGACCATGTATCGGGCGGCAGACGACATGTAGTCCGAAGTTAATTTGATTATTCTTTATTTTTACAGGTACCCGTGATATAAATTTTAAAACGCTTCGAAGTTTATTTTGATGTAATGATTTTTGGGGTCTCCAATATAAGGACAAAGAGTGAATTTTACTGTGTTTCATTTATAGTGTCCTATACTAGCTAACTTTGACCTTTGTATAAATAATAACTTCCGTTTTATCTCTAATATTTAGCTGAAGGATTGAATCCAAGGTCAAGAAATAACTTAAATACAAATAATACAAGTTTATTTATATAACATAATTTATATACATATAAACAAATCATTGTTTGAAATTTATCTTATATCCTTTAGATTCCGGATCTTGTTCTAGCTGGAAATTTTCTGTACTCAAACCAAAAGGCTTTAAAATCATGTTACCTAAGTCTTTGAGTTTGCCTAGCATTTCTTGTTTTAACTTTTCGTTTTTTTCTTCGATGAGCGGTGGCAAACGGACAACTGCTTTTTGTGCCTCTTTGTGTGTTGGGTCCATTTCTAATATTTTTTTGTAATCTGCTAAACTCTCGTCTAGTTTTTCCGTTGCTTCGTAAGATTGGGCTCGCCTGAAATTAAATATTTTTTAGTTTTATAATTGAAGCTATAAGCGTCAAAATGGTGTAACGCATATTTAGTTCTTTTTCTACAATGTTACTTTGAATGATATTCAAGTATAGTTTATATTTGAAGGCAATTGTCATGTATAAAAAAAGAATTCGCAATTAAATATTTTTTTTAAATACATAATTTTAAATTATGATGAATTATTCATTTCCTATAATACAAGATTATTAAGTTAGGGCGCGTTCCCATTATGTCGTAACGACAAATAGTCGTGCATTTTAAACTGTCGTGACTTGTATTAAGTTGTTCACACATATAACAACACTAACGCGATTAACTGTCGTTCACGACCTTTTTGACGTTATGACGACAGACTGTTGTGACAATGGAAAGAGCTAGAACGATAGTCGTCCGACGATAAATAAAAAGTCACGATAGAAATTTGATGACACCTTCAAACGATTCTGTCGTGCAAACAACGAGGCGGCTGCCGTGAACCGATAAATTGTCGTCTCGATCTAGTGGGAAAAAGCTAGACACGACGTTCTTTCAACGATGAAATAAACGACCACGACAGATAGTCGTGATATGGGGACAGGCTAGACGCGACAATAAATAAAACGTTAGTACATAATGGTAACGCGCCCTTACGAAAGAAAGTACAAGTACTTTAAAGGCGCGAGCGCAACATTTTGCCTCGAAATCCATTCAGGCCCAACAACTAGTTAAAAATCTGAGAACGAAGGAATGCGTGTGCGGCTCGGCGGAAATAGACGAAAGTGAAAGGCGGCCTTATCACGGCGCGCGCAACGTTAGTAACAGTCTTTATTATACATCACACAAATGCAACATACCTGATATAGGCCTTGAGATATTTGTCATCAAGTTCAATGGCCTTTGTGCAGTCTTTGATAGCTCTGTTGTACTTCTCTAGCTTCATTTTGGCAGCACTGCGATTGCAGTACAAAACCGCGCGTTGTTGCGAGAATTGCAGTGGACAGATTCTTAAACCTGTAACAATAAGAAACACTTCTTCGATACTCGTATGGCTCAGATCATACGTCGAGTTGTGGATTACTGAAAGATCTGTCGATCTTGCTTCCCGTACTGCGTCTACGTCATGCTGACATTCCGCACACATTCTATTCTAGTCTGTCACGAAATGCCACGTGGTTTGGTATGTAAACAAGAGTTAGTAGTACAAAAAAGAATCGCTACCAGGTTCCCAGAACCTGCATGGTAATCCATTAAGTACAAGTGCGTGTCTATTCTTATAGCATGATGTGAAACGTTTAGTTTACGCGGAGGATACGAGTGTCGAAGTTTCTGCTTTCAAAGTTGTGGAGTCTAATGTTGAAAAGAACGTGAGTGCGAATCTCTGCAGTGGCTGTGGAGCCAGGTACTTTGAGCAATACTTTCATGTAACCTAAACTTGGTAAGTACCAAATCTAAGTTACAAAAAGCTTTTTTCAGTCAATAAAAAAATAGGTAAATAAGCGATCGAGAAGATTATGTGTCGCTCGGTTCAACGGGTGGCGCAGTCACTGCCCTTGCGCGGTGCATACGACTTCGAGACAATTTTGCAAAACTTTACTAGATACAATTAGCCAGAATATTGAACATAATAATTTTTTAAATATTTTTAGATGATTTAGGATTATTTCTATTATTAATTTCTTAAATATGGCGAGAATGCAAATGAACACACTGTATAGTTAGCCTACATATAGATTACACATAGAGTAGCAGTAGAGCTCCTTGTGAAAGAGTTCGTCCAGGGAAGTACTACCACCTTACCTATGTCTGACTCCAAGCAGTATTGTGAGCATTACTGCGTTCCGGTTTGGAAGGGTTAGGGTGCTGGTGGAATTACAGGCACATGGGACTTGTCAACTTATATCTCAAGGTGTCGGGCCCTTCGATACTAACGGTCTACTATCCCGATCAGTCCACTTGTCCAATTGGTCCACTTTCTCGATTTCGTCTACTTTCCAGATCGGTCCACTTGTCCAAATGGTCCATCTTTAAAGCACGTAAATTAATATAATTTTAGGGAAAAAAAATCCGTTTTACAAATTTTCAAAGGCAGTTTGTAACTGCGTAATTGAAGATAGTCGAGGAGTACATTTTTTATATTTTTGATAATGGCCATCATTTGCTTTACGTTAACCATGATTTGAAAAAACAAAATCAAGTAGACACTTACTTTTTAACTGACTTCAAAAAAAAGGAGTAAGTTCCCAATTCGACTGTATTTTATTTTTGTATATACATATGTTACGCGAACTATATATAGTGTATGTCTCCGATTATTTGTGAACCGATTTTAATGGTTTTTTTGTTGGAAAGAGACGGTAGTGGTCCTATTTAAATTTGAAGAAAATATTCCACCTCTAAGGCTGAAAAACTAGGGGGTGAATCCGATTTCGCGCACGTTCCGGTAACCGATTGCAATAAAACTTGACAAATAGATGTGATTTCACAAACGTTTGAGGTTAGTTTTTTTAGTACTCTGTACTGAGATTATCTGAGTGGACGCATCATTAAAGTAAACCTTGTGACCTCCTTAATTCGTCATCCCACCTTTCTCCGGTTCCTGGCCACTCGTATTTAAATTTAAATATAGAATTGTACCCATTGACTTACAATTATATGGACGTCGGGTCCGCGCTAAAAAGTGTCCGCACTTGTAAGGCGCTAAAATCGTATACAGAGCGCCAAACTCCGCTTTAGTCTTCATTTGTTCGACTGACAGCGCGATACTGCGATGACATTACAATTTAAATTTCGAATAGGTTGACTTGGGACATTTTTTTCGTGGTTTTTGTATTAGACCCGTCGTCCATTTATTTGTAAGTCAATGATTGTACCACAGTTCTTTTGTCTTGCTTTCTGATTTTGTTTCGTTCCGCCGTCACTCCCTGCCCGATCGCGCCAGCGAACACATCTCTTATTTTTTTAAGCCGTTTTTTAGTTTTTTAGTTTATTTTTTAGTTACCAAAAATCTCTTGTGCGATAAACACTTTAAAGCTCATAAATATTGTTAAAACCGGAATAAGTATTTATAAAACTGGATTTATTACCACTAGTTCTTTACCCTTTTGATTTCTGAACGTTAAACTTACTAAGCAAGAGTACGGAGGCGCGCTAGCTGCGGAGACTGCCACTCTCCCTACGACATTACAATCCACCAGCGCCAGCAGCGCGCTTTTAACCTATCGGGAAAGTAGACCGATCAGGGAAGTAGACCAAATGACAAAAAGTAAACCAAACGGGAAAGTAGACCACACAGGGAAGTAGACAAAATGGGAAAGTGGACCAAACAAGAAAGTAAGCTGTGAGTGGCACTGTAACTGTTAAGGACAGGCGTGTGGCTTACCATCAAGCGCACGACTTGTTCGTCCCGTCACTTGATGTTACAAAAAAAAGTAGACGAAATGGGAAATAGACTAATCGGAAAAACAAGTGGACCGATCGGGAAAGTAGACGAATAGTGAATGTGAACCGATCGGGAAAGTAGACCAATTGTATTGAAGGGGTGAAGGGCACTGTGGCAGTGTCTCTAAGATCTTTGCGATTAAAAGCTCTAAGTGGCACTGGAACTGTCATGTATAGGCGCGTCGCTTACCACCAGGCGCACGACTTGTTCGTCCCGCACTTGATATCTTAAAAAAAGACGAGTGCCAGCATAAGGTCTTAACATTATAACGCACACACTCAATATAGCATTCACTTGATGATATTGTTGTGGTAATATACGACTGTAATGACTACTACATCGTCATACAACTGCATACCGAACGGTTACCATGCTGGTCTGCGACGCAGAGGTCCCGGGTTCGATTCTCGGATTGGGAGAAATATTTCGATACCTCCAACATAAGTTGTAAGTCAAAATACCATTTTTACTTTTGCAAATTATAGGCTCCATATATATATATATGTATATATAGTTTCGTTATTGGACATAAGTGCCAGTAATTTCCACAGCGACCTTACCCTCAAAAACTGGAATGCATTATAGCATAATGTTACTGTTTGGTGGCAGAAATAGGTAATGTAGCACTACTACCCTGGATGAACTGTTTAACAAGAACTCTACGACCACTAAAAGAGTTTACCTTCAGTATATTTCTCTATGCTCCTCTCATAATCACCATCCTTAAAAGCCTCGTTTCCACTCTTCTTAAGTTCTTCTGCGATGATTTGTCTTTCTGCTTTCTGGTCATCAGTAAGGTCAACTTCTGCGTCCTTCAGAGAAACTTCATCTATGGAATCAGTATCACTCTCAGTTTCTTTCTGTTCCTTTTCATCTGGGTCTTTGTAATTACTGTCGAGGTTAGCAGATGGAATGTCTGGAAAAAGGAATAAATTTTTCATTTTAATTGTTATTACAGTTATGCAGCAATAAAATTGATATATCATCGGGGATCGGACAATAACGCGTAATAAGCATTTGATTATGAGTCTCATCGGTAATTTAGTCGCGCAAATGTTGTGGCAACCAAAAAGCTTTAAATCGCAAAGATTTGAAGAGTGCTGACACTGCATCTGTCACACTGAGACAAGTGTCATGTACCAATGCAGTAATGCTCGCATTATTGCTTGATAGCAGAAATATATACTGTAGCAGTACTTATTTTATTTTATTAGGGCAGTAATGACTTTTACAACATGGATTTAAATATGATTAATCAGATGCCAATTAAAAGCCTCCACACTTCTTCCCTGGACAAACTCTTTCATAAGGAGATCTACTGCTTTTAACTACATGCTATTTAGTAGTTTAATTTGTTGGTAGGTCCTTATATCTATGTATATTATGTTATTGCTTTTTTTCAAGAAGTTTATAGCATTAGGATAATTATTATTAAATAAATTGATGGTTTTGGAAACCACATCAACAAAAAGACAATAATTAACTGTAATATCAAATTACAAGTGCACATATCGCATTGCAGTCACCCATTTGTAATCTTTGAGTACCGGCAGATCGTCCCATAAAACAGGAATTATAGGGAAGTTAATTAGTTTATGACGATAAAAATTACAATACAGAGGTAACAATTACGCCTTTGTTTCGTGAGATGGGGTTATAGATGTTGAGGTGGTGCCATAACAAAAATTAAAAAAAGAATCATCACCGGAAGATTTTGCTGCTGCTGGAGCGTCACCGGAAGACGTGGGGTACTCTTCAGCACTGGAATCAGGGTTTATAACGAACTCTTCAACTGGATCTTGAGTGGTAAAAGCTGTTTTCAAATCCTTGGTGAGATCTTCGATTATATCCTCATTTGAGACCCGATTTGTATTTTTCAAACGCTCCGACATGATTTCTTTCTTTCTTGTTTCGTAAACGAAGAAATGCGAGTATGGCAAAAAAGCAAAATAAACGTTGGAGTAATCGTTCACAGCTCCAAAACTTGGTTTTTCGTCGATTGTCACAAACTAAAAATACAAGACAGACGGTTAAGTCTTTGGAAAG